CAAGTTGCAAATACTATTGTAATAACTTGGAGAGGATTAAAACCCTATAAAAGTGAGGGTGGGACCCAAAAGTACTTTGAGAGACCTTTCGATAGCTACTCGACTAAATGAAAAGTTCTATTTTAAAATTTCTTATTTTTTAGTTCAACAATATGGTGGTGGTTATTCGAACATCTAAAATTTTGGTTGAAAATATGTCGGGATATATTGATATACTTGATAGTGTATAAATATAGTTTTGTTGTCTCATATTCCTTTATTTGTAATTTTGTAGTATATTTATTCAAGGTAAGTTATATAATTAATAGGTCAAATGCATATTTTAATCCGTAATGTTTGGGAGTTTATTTTATTTTTAATTTGGTTCCTATTATTTAAGAAGTTTCATTTTAATCTTTTATTTTTTAATATTTTTTTAATTTAGTCTCTTACCTTGTCCTATTAATATTACATATCACACCAAACTTTGTCCTATTAATCGAAATCATCGTATGGAAGTAGTATGGTTTAAATATTATGGATTTTTCAAGTTATTTTGATATATTTTTCGGTACTTTTTTCTCAACTCTGTATGTACCAAGTATTACAAAAAAAATAAACGAGACAAAAAGATTTATTAATATTATCGTAATTTATAAATAATTTATAATAGATATTCTAACTTTATTCATATTTGAGTTTTAGGATAATTAACTTAGTCCTTATTCATTGGTTTTTAGTAATAGATTCATTTACTCCTTTTCAAAATGTGTTTGGTAGCTTCTGAGTTGCGAAACATAGGTTAAAAAAGTTCATCAGAATCGTTAGTTTTATCCCACAATAAATCGTTTTTTGTATTCTGGAAAAGGGCAGTGGCCTATGAGTTAAATATAGAAAACATCCGAGTTCACAACTCAATTTTTTATCAATTGAACCAACTTTAAATAATCGACTCTAACCGTAAACATAATTTGAAATGGAGAGGCAAATTGCTTAAGTTGTCCCTTTCTTGGGAGGGCAGCAAAGGCAATGTTTCTTAAAGCATTGAGTAACTAGTTAAAAAAGCCAAAATTGGATCTAAAACGAAGGAAAAAAGGATCAGCCCAAGGGCTTGTAACCATGGCTAATACAGAGCTTTTTCTTTGCCTTATTCCTTGCTTGTTTTACCTTTCACACAATTTCATTACCATTCATCTCTTCCTAAAGTTAAAAAGTTCTTGAATTTTCACCCTATAGATAGGCCAAATAGTTCTACGAAAATCACTTTGGGCATTTTCAGAATTTTTTTAATCAATTTTGATCATCAAACCAAATACTATGAAAATTTTGAAAAGTATTATTTGTTGAACTAAGATCACTTTTCAACCTTTCAAACGTCTCAAACTCTCTACAAAGTGGATGATACCGTCCATCCACAACACGAAATAGCTCTTCTCGAGCTACTATTTCCATTACAACAGTCTACAAAAGAACTTATAACACCAGTTATGTAATTTCAAAATCAACTTGCAAGTTGAAGCTTGAAAAATGAAGGTAACGTGTAAATTGATGAGGAGGATGAAGATCACATAACATTACTTACGGCACAAATGAACCAGATGCTACATTAACATGATTTCTGAGTTTTGATTTGAACAAAGAACAAAAAAGTTTAAAATGTGCTCAAAATCCCTCTTGAACGACTCTAATTATTGGGAAAGGATAAAAGAAAAAAATTGGAATACCTATAAAAACTTCACTGGCACATCTAAACAAATAATTTTAGCAGCCAATTGCTAACACTAAGCTGAACTCTTTACTCAAATGGACTCATAAGGGTTGATTATTAGCCAATTAGGAAGTTACCTCCCTCCCTGTCACAAATAAATTGTATATCCTCTGGCCAATTTAACAAAAAATTTCAACACTTAAGCTGCAGCTTTCGATTTCGGTCTTTGTTTCTTGGCATCCAAAGACACTAAGCTTGAGCCTAATCCAACAGGTGCCTGATCTTGCACCGAAGGCAACTGATCTCGTTTTCCATCTACCTGGTCGTTAGAAGGGTTGGTGTTAGCTTCTTTTTTCTCACCATCTGTTTCGCTGCTATCCGCTGCATCTGGTGTCATCCCAGAATTGATGATATTAAGCAGCTGGGTAAGTGGTGGCATAGCTTGGACTGGGACACCGGGTTGACGTATCAAGAGGCCCCTAGCTGCAGCTTTCTTTCTGACCTCAGCAGCGGCTCGAGCAGCTCTCTCATCTACTCCCCTACCGCGGGGAAGAGTTTCACCCATTACAGCAGCATTAAGGGATTTGTTGATAGCACCACCTCCAGAACTGCCAGATCCACCAGCTATTGCAGCAGCTTGAAATGCTTGTATTAAGTCCGGATGAGACTGCATGATATTCAGAAATGAAACCTTTGAATATTTGTGCAGTAACTATTAAACAAGACAACGGTGCAAGGAAAAAAACTTCATACAAGAATGAAATGGTAAAAATATAATGAAACCCTATGAGTCAGAAAAAGGACAAAAAAGACTTGATTCTTTTCAAGAGGCTATTGATTTCTCTTGTAGATTTCATTCGTTAATATAATTGAGTCTCTTGAAAAGAATACCTTCAGAATATCGATAGCCTTCTGAGCGGAGGCAGCATTCAAAGTTTGGCCCTTCTGCTTCTGAGCATTCATCTGCCAAAATACAATCTATATCATCAGAAAAAGGACAAAACAGAATTTTTTTTGGGGTTAGCTTTAACCTTTATCCTTTCCATCTGTAAACTTACCTGTACCTCACGCATCTTAAATGTCTTCATCCAATTTTCTGAATCTCGCGTCCGAGAATCTTCTTCACCCAATTGTTTGACCAGAATATCATAGGTTTTCTTTTCATGCTGCCAGGAGATAAGAAATTTTGGTCATACATTCCAACGGATGTCAAACATTATTCAACGCGTCATGAATTACCTGGTGGGACAGTTTGAAGGCACCCATACAATTGAATGCAATAGCAAGAGCATGGTAGCAAACAGCGGTTTGAATATGTTCCTCGCCTAGAAGCCTCTCATTTTTCTTCAATGCTTCTTGCAAATAACGAAGAGCCGTATTCATCTTCCCAATATCCTGGTACATCATTGCAACATTTATGAAAGTTGCAGCAACATCAGGATGGTCAGGACCAGATGATAAACTCAGCAGCAGCAACGCTCGGGACATGTGTCGGAGAGCGAGTTCTGTTTGGTTAAGTCCATGGTAGAAAAGTGCCATATTCCCGTAACTACATAAGGGAACAAAATTTATATCAGATCAACATTAGTATTGAACTAAAATTTGCTACACATCATGTCTCATATATTTAGTTTTCATTTGTGTTCAACATTCATATAACAGGGAGCCTGGAACACCATAAGAATATCTCACTTAAACAAATTGATGACATATTCTATGCTTTGTGCATCACAGTCATCCTTCAGGTAAAAGAAAACACGGAAAATTTCACCTGTGAGCTGTATCAGGATGATCCAATCCCAAACAACGTTCATTTATAATTAGTTCCTTGTGCTGTTGGACTATGGCTCCAGCCATATCTCCTGCATGATACAAAACCATAGCAAGGTACCTAGAAGTTTAAAAAGGAAAATATTAGCTTCCCTAGGCATAATTTTGTGCATGTCAATGAAAACTAACACGCATGCTAGAGCCAAATACTTGTGCCCCTATAATAAGCAGCATAATCATTAAATCTAGAGACAAAATTTGCATGCTGGTATAGTCCTGATGTCTACCGGCAACAATTGGCAACCTCCCGATGCATTGGACCAGTAACCTGAAATAAAGAAGTTTTTTTTTTATTGATGAGATTATGCTCTAACAGAATTTTCTCAGCAAGCGATACCAAAGAATAGACTATCGTTACCTGCTGAAGTATCGAGACCGCTTCTGAAAATAATGCATAGGCTTCACTAAGCATCCCCTGAAGAAAAAGATAATCAGATAAAACCTGATTCAGGTCATTTTGCAATCACAAACATTCAAACATATTTCGTGTTTATTTATTCCAAGTTTATCAATATGCATTGCAGTACATGACAATTCAACTCCCTGAAAGTTTCAAGAGTTACCATAAGTTAAGTAAATGTTGAAATTAAAATTTCATTTTCCAAAGTAATTGAACTATCGTGGAAACTTTGAATAATGATTACTTTCTCAATTC